ATGTATTCTGCCCCCCCCACCCCCTACCGTTTTATTTGTTGCCACATTTCATACATTACAGGCATTCAGTAATTCAAGCGCGATCGCCAAACACAAGCTCACACACAGCGAGGAACGGAAATACGTTTGTGGAATATGTCACAAGGCGTTTAAACGTCAAGATCACCTGTAAGTACTGTCTGTCTCCAACCTGTGTGTGTGTGTGTGTGTGTGTGTGTGTGAAAAAATAGGTGGCCGTACTTGAGGTGTGAGTTCTCTCTCTCTGATTCGATCTGATGTCGATGATTTTCCAATCAGCTGGTGGGACTTGCTTGATGTTTCACTGCTCACTGAGCGTCGATCATCCAGATGACATACATTTCAGTGCGCTGATTCAGCCGGAGTCTACCATGTCCGTGCCATTCTTTTATGTGCGCTTACGTGGACTAGTTTGATTGGCCGTTTCTGTTATCCGGTGCCGTTCGGTAGAAAAACATAAACCGTGTAATGATTTGTGACTGACCGTTTCATTGTGGTGTTATGCGCCCTGTTTGTTTTTTCAAGCATTGTGAACCAACCATCTCAGATTGATTTCGCTAATGAGGCTCAGGTGGCAGGCAATTCTCCTGGGGGTCTGAAGCCAATTTTCCGTCCATGGTTCTCTAATTCTACTCACCGGACGACGAGTTGTGGTGTTGACTAGTCAAACGAGGATAAGACTCGTTTATCCGCTAATTTGTTTTCGAGAGGAAATTTGCACTTTGCGCTTGTTAAAATGCTTTTGCGCGTCCCCGTTTTCGAAGTTGGGGCTGGGCGAGAATTCTCTTCGGCTAGATGCAGTTCTCACCCGGATCTATCCATTTATTCAATCGCACATCTGGCGGTATGCAAGGCGAATGCCAACAGGTTGCGTGTTCTTTCCATTTGATAAAGAAAGTCTAATAGTTTGACCTACATCTTTAAGCTAAACTTGGGTAACCACCGACTGCCGATTGGAGAAAATAATTATCAAGCCACCGACCGTTCAAACTAATCATATCCTTCTTTCGTTTCACTGTAATCGTCCTGTGATTTGATATCGAGCTGGTCCGGCTCAATTCATTACACTGGTGAATTGGAACGCTATACATATATTAGCTCTTTCTATCCATGGGATCTTCTTTTCGAATGTGCGTCATGCAGAAAAGAAAAGAATTTCCTCACCCAGTATTCAGTTGGATTTGAGCGATAAACATATATGTATATCATAATAAATAGTATACGAATGACCCGATAAAATTTTCCCTGGAGTTACACGACCGGCTTCGTTGTTCTTGCTGCCCGTCTGGCATGCACCTCCGGTAATCTTTTGTCACTTCATTCGTATATTTGTCGCAATAACCTCATTCACAACACCGGGCAAATTTGTGTGGATAGCCTCTTCGGAACCAGTCAGTCCATTTATGATTCAATACCGTGATTCGATGTTCTGTAAGTGGGTCAGATTCTACTAACTACAACGAACGTTACTTGGGCTTTTTCATAGAATATTCCCTAATCAGTAGTACATACGTATGCAAACCACAACAGCATCGCAAAATAGGCACGGATTTCTCTTTCATTCCACCGCATTTCTTTTGCAGTCTGGATGTGTGTGCTTAAGATATAGATTACCTATTCATTTTTCAACCAATATATATATATATATTGATATTAGTTATGTAAATGTATGTAAATACATATCGTGAGACCCATAAATTCTCCATTCATGCTCTTCGCTCTACAGAAACGGCCACAAATATACACACGAATCGAAAAAGCCCCACGCATGCCATTTTTGTGATAAATCCTACAGTGATGCGCGCTCGTTGCGACGTCACTATGAGAATGCGCACCCAGAGGAATACAGTCGATGGCTTGTCCTGTCCCAAGCCACAAATGGGGACACCAGTGCAATCGCAGTCGCTGCCGCCGCGGCTTTGTTCTCTTCCTCCTCCTCCGGTTTGGACAAAGAGTCCACAGAACAAGCGGCCAAAGAGCTCCACATGGATCCGTCCACTTCGGCCGTTCTCACTAGCGTGCTGAACGGCCCGGTACGTGGTGTGCTCACTTCCAGCCTAAATCGTGCGGCCGGCTGGGGCACGTCCAGTGATGTTCTCAAAGCAGCACGATCGGAAAGCGCATCACCCGCCTCAACTTCAGCCATCAATGAACACCACGGTGAGTGCATCATGCCCATCGAACACTGTCATCCGGTCTGTCACATTTTACCATAGAATCCGACGGGGTTATTCTGGACAATCCAATTGAACTAACAACACTTTGTGCCCGTACTTAAACTATTTGTTTCGCCGCTCCCCGAAATGAATAACGGTGCTTAGATCCATTCACGAATAACACATTGATTAATTCGGTTTTATCGTTATTATTGTTATTATTATTATTATTATTATTATTATTATTATTATTATTATTATGCACATTCCAAAAACCTTCACGCTTGAATAGGCCATCTAATTTGGCAAGGAGATTTCAGACACGTTGTGCATTTGTGGTGACGACAGGAATTTATCCAATTGGAGCATAATTTGGTGTATTTTCCGTTGTGAATAGCCAGATTTTCCCAAAGTGCTCGAAATTGACTTTTAAAAACGTACCTAACTTATAAAATTGGTTGATTTTTATCAGTAGTTTATACGGAATAATGTTCGCCAAATGATCGATGTATGGTAATGCGTGTTCCGTGCTTAGTACTTTCGTTGTTTATGCACACACGACCAATAAGATATTTTCATCGATAAATCCGTATTTGTGAGTGGACGGTTGATCTTATTGTTGTTATGTGACAACTTTTCCAACCAGAAAGTTGATTGCATTCCTTGACATTTTGTTCAGTTGGCGGTAGTTCAACCTTCTCCTTTGTTTCCCCGGGCACAGTGCGTTCGGTGCGTCCTACTCCGCTCCCCCCTTGAGGAAAATCGCTCATTTATGATCATGATCAATATCACAGTCGTTTGTTCCAATACCGCGATCATCCTAGATGCTTGCCCCCTCCCCTCCCTCCTTTGTGAGCTTTCCCATATATTTGTATGCATTTCACACATATCTGAGGCCAGACTGTATCAAGCGAATCATGATTCAATAATCTTTATAAAAAGGAAAAACGTTCCGTGATTTGAATATGGTTTGAATACTGCCGAGTCGCCCTGGCCAAAACAGGTAAATTTTCTTTAAGAATCCACAACCGGAGCTTTCGTTAGCCCGAGTCTGACCCTTCAAGGCAGCGCGGGGCGGTGTGTGAAAACCGCAATCCATTGGGGGCCGGTGTCTAGTTCATCGGATCATACACCATTTGGACGGGGTTAAACGTCCAAGCTGCCTAATACACCTCGATGCCCAATTAAGCCGGTGATCACTGGCCACAACCGAAAAGGGGTGGGTGTGGTTCGTGAACCTCAGGGGTTTTTAACCAACTCCCCTAGGTGATCTACTAGTGGTCCACGAACCTGGTTATAGCCCCAGCTATCGGCTTTTCGTCCTCTCACTTTGGTGGGAAAACACCACCACGAGAACGCAGTGAGAAGGGCTTCCTGAGCAGAGGCTGTTTAGGACGCTTGGTCGTATGGTGAGGATGATCGGCCGCAACCTGAGACACCCACCGCCAACCATACTGAGATTTCCGGAGGTTGTGAGCTCTCCTGCTTTGAATTTTATTATTTTTGAAGATCTCTCCATGCGGTTGTTTTACGGCGTATCCTTTTTATGGTCTAACGGATTCCGATCGGACAGGATCTTATCAAGTAGCACCATATTTACATGCTGTGATATTCCGCGTGCCTGCTGATCGCCGAAATATATCGTCTTACAATGTTGTCGGTGCGTCGCAGATAGCCACGGTTTAGAAGTGCCCGGTTTTTTTGGATTCGATATTTCTCGATCGAGCACGTTTCACAAGTGCAATGTGATTTTTTGCTTGAATCTGTCTATAAACATTTACTTTTTACCAAATTTGTCCAATTTCTTTCTCACAGGACGGGTACATAGAAGCTTTCCCTCATCCCAGGCTGACATCCGTTGCCCCTAATTAGTTGCTGATTTCAACTCATCTCTGTACTTGTTGATCGTTTGATGTGATAAGTTGAATCGAATTGGATCAATTAGTATTGGTCACTATCGCATTGGTTCTGTTAGATTCATGTTTCTATTTGTCATCTTGCTCCAGCGACACACAACTTCATCTGATCGACGCCGTTGACGTTTTCCGTCCCGAACATTTATCTGTGCTTGGTGATGAAAAAGTGCACATTGCTGGGCTCCCACCAGCCACATGATAGCAGTGGTGCTCTCTCAGCCGAGACTGGATGAACACTTATCATGTTGAAATTGTGAAAAGTTCAGCGGCCTCGGGGCGGGGCGGGGGGGGGGGTAGATGGGATTCTAACCTCGCGGATGAACTTCGCCTACGCTTTTGTACAGCGCACGCTATATCAGCTGAGCTACAACGAGGCCACATTGAAAAAGCACTGATCTTTTCACATTCGAATTACCCATCCAACTTACACAGAGAGAAGCATATCGCATGTACCAGTTCGCATGTAAGCTGACTGCCAAGACAGGTTTTTTATTTAGAATTCACCGAATGCACTTCTAAAATTAGATTCAACATAAAACCTCAATCTGCCACATATCGATTTGAACAAATATCACTTTTTGTAACTATCGACATCCAAATCGGTACACAACCTCCACCCCATCCCCTGTAGGACAAGAGAATCAAGCGCTCTTAATTATTTCCCTTAAATAAATAAAACTTTGACTGTAGAGCAACATGCAAAACAGTTCCTTAGACTCGCATCTCCGCCTGGAGCCCAGTCCTAGCAAAACCAAGAAATCAGCTGAATTTCGTTTTTTGACCTGATCAAAGTGACTCAAAAGCCTTGATTCATACACTATCCATTGCAAGATGGCATGTCTTGAGATCAGCGCGGTCGAAATAGCGTTCGTTGTTCTTTGACTTATTCTTGTCCAATCGGGCTTTCTTTTTTGAGACGCGGTCGCGGACCAGGTTGAAGATTGTCTTGGAGAACTATAAAGTGTTTCGTGAACCCCATGCCCGTGATCCATGCATCCATCCGGTTCACGGTGTGTTCTTTGTGATCCGATCCGTGGCGTAGTTGAACCGTACCGGGGACAGCGGATAGTCCTATTGAACTCTTGGGTTCAAGAGGAACTCCCTAAATGCCTCTCGATAATGTGTTCGGACTGCCAATTTGTTTACTTTTATGAGCTGTGCTTCTTGATAATCCCGTCTGTTCGCATTTAATTCACAGTTACTTGTGAGTAGTGGTGTGGGATAATTGATATTTATTGCTTTGAACTGATTATCTATTCTCCGCACTTCACCTTCACGCACAATCCTCAGTTCATCGATTCAACCATACACTCGGAAGCACTAGACTCCAGTTTCGTTCTTATTAGATAGCTCATCAGTAGTGCATATCCATCGTCCCCTCCGGGATTTGAACTCCGGACCCATCGCATGAAAGGTGTGCGTTATCATTGTGTCAACCAGCTCATACCGTGACTGGATTAAATTGCCCGCCTGTGTCCTACAACGAATGAACCAGACAGATCGTCGACAACTACAGGAGCTGCTCCGGCAAAGGGTATATGTTTAATCAATACAGCTCCGGCCACACCGGAAGCCACCTCGGTTTGCCCGTGTGTTTGCGTCTCCTGTGACTGCAAAGCGATTTGACAGTATCACTTTGAGCAGTTTACCATATTTGTTCACAAGTTTGCCATCCCGTTATTTGTCGCACACGGTTGCCAAATTTCGGGTGTGAGTAGCAGAGGTCGAAGTATAAAAGGCTGTCGTACCTGTTCGTTATTCGAAACTAATCGAATTATCAAAACGGACAGCATTTGCGTCGCATGTTCCGGTCTCGATGGTTTTCGAACTGTTCTGTTTCTAATCGCAGTCCCTCGATCAGATGCATGTTCTGCTTGCTGTTTTCGGTGCTTTATTCCACCGAATCGATTACCCTTCCGCTCACGGCGCCTTGGATACGAGTTAGTTTGTTTTGATCCGAGCGTGATCTTCTTTTCTTGCCACGACCTCAGTGTTTTTTCCGGCTTGCATTGTGCTTTAGTATGTCTACTCCTGTCGACAGATCATTCCGTATTTATCATTCCATCCTGTTTGTACCGACTACAGCTGAGCAATATTTGAGTCCCAGTCGGTTCATCCTGATGCAGCTTCATCGTTGGTACGGAATAGGCCACGATGACGAGCGTCATTTTTTTCTA